ACTGGATCTGATGGTTCAGATTTTAGAATCCAAACTTTATTTTTTATATACTTGTTATTTTAAATTAGCATTATAAAAAAAAATATTAGATTTTAATGAACATCCCTAAAATTGTATGTATGTTCAACTTATTTTCCGGTTGGGATTTGGGATTCTCAACAATATTATGAGATATATTCATTGTTTTTATTATAGATAATAAGAAATATAATAATGTTGTTTCGATTCTAATTTTGGAGATTTTTAAGTAAATTTCAAATATTATATATTTATCTATTAAATTCAAAATATTTCAAAATTAATTATTAGGAAGGTTAGGATTATGTGAATCTCAAAAGTTAATATTATTTATTTTTTGTTTAATATGTGTCAAAATTTTCCGAATTCAAATGTATTACTCATTTTCGAGTAATTTATACATTTTTTTTATTCAAGAATAAAACATCTAAAATTTAGAGTTTAACATTTTTATATTCTAAATAACAGTAATGCAACCAAATTTGTTTCAAAATATCTTGAAATTTATTAATCACGTGGTCTTAAAAAAATCCTAGATTAGACCCCGTTTGGTAGATAGCGGATTGGACTTAAAAGACTAATAACAATGAGTGAAGCAAACTTCTGCAAATACCACCATTTTTGGTTTTGGATCTTCCAACCAATAAGAACCCTAATATTGAACCTAACTGGCATAACTCTAGTTGTTGCATCATACCCTTTTACTTGAACATCCTTTTGAAATCTCTTATTGTAAGAAGCCGCGTAGATCAAGCTAAGAAGACCTCGAAACCCTTTCCTCTAGACCAAGCCCTACCAAAGTACCAAATTCGAGAAAAGAGCAGCCCACGAAACAAACGAAGCGAAGCAGCAAGAAAACTGATGCGCGTTAGCGCAACGGCTTTCGCGTTTTTTGATCAATCAAAACCCCTTCCCAAACTGTACAAGCTTCTTCCAAAGCATACGGCATTGAGAGGTTTGACCCGTCAAATCCGCTATTGATCATGTTTGGTAAATAACTTATTTGATAAGCTTTTTGGGCCCAAAACTCTAATTTAGAAAAAATTCATTAGAACAGCTTTTTGGGGATAGAGGATTCACAAAAAAATCATTTACTTATAACCTTTTAATTTGCATTATTTATTTTACAATTTACATTGATTTATGATGCTAATAAATAATAATATGTCATCGATATGATTAATTTATCTAGAAAAATGTAAAACTCATAACTTCTTCATCAAGTGTTAATAAATTAAAAAAATAATATATTTATAAATTACCAACTAAAGAATATTAAATGTTGTAATATATTATTATTAAAAAAATACACCCTAAATAACAAAAATGTCATTATTGGTCATTTTGCAATGTCAAACAGCTATAAGCTTTCAGCTATTTACCAAACATTTATTTAAAAACCGCTAATGCAATCTGCTGGTCAAATCAGCTAATATAATCCGCTATCCGCTGATCACTAAACAAGGCCTATTAAGTATACCCATTTATTTATTCAGCCAAACTTACTATTTAGGTATTTTTCCAACAATTTTATTATAATTATACAGATATAGATATAGATAGATATAAATATAGATATATAGATACATATATAATATCTATTATTATATATTAAAAGAACAAAGGATTTGTTATATATAATAATTTAGAACTTACCAAGAATGTTTATATTACTTATAACAAAAGTGTTTTATGTGGCTTGATATTGCATTTACATTGGTATATTTTGATCTCCTACCATTATGCTCCTTAAGTAACTATATAAATTAGATATCCTTGGTATATGTATCTCACATGTGATCTTTCAATCGGGGAAGAATCAATTGACATTATCCTCCTCCATAATTCAACAT